GTGACAAAGCCAGGACTCTTGGGTCCTCCCCTCTTCCTCTCACTATGTGACCTTGACGAACCCTTGTCCTCTATGTCTATCTTCTGTGTGGCCAAGAAAGAAGGTTGCCTCTCCCCGGCCCCAGGGCACACACCAGGTTCCCACCAGCTCACTTCCCAGCCTGCGGTCACCTAGGACCCGCAGGAAGGCTGCACGGACAGGGTCTCAGGAGGCCAAGGTCTCCCTTTGGTTCCGGGGGCTCCCTATTTGCAAAAGGGATAGGTGAGGGGGCTGGGCAGGCTTGAGAGGCGTGACCCTGGTCGAGCACCTTTCCCAGTCCTCCCACAGGACTGTCCTCCCTTGCCCACACCTGGCAGTGGAGTCACCGAACGCCGGGACACCCCCCCCCCCCCGCCTTCCTGGGCCTCCTCTTGTCCTCATCTTCACCCGCTCCTCCCACCAGCTGTCGACTCCTTTGACCACAAAAAGTTCTTCCAAATGGTCGGCCTCAAGAAAAAGAGTGCGGACGACCTGAAGAAGGTGTTCCACATCCTGGATAAGGACAAGAGCGGCTTCATCGAGGAGGATGAGCTGGGGTAAACTGAGGCCTGAGGGGACTTCCGGCCGGAGGCCCAGGGAGGAAGGGAGGGTGGGGGCTGGAACCCCTCCTTCCCAGTCCCCAGCAGGGCTGCCCTTTCCCTGGCACACTTCACAGAAAGCAAGGGCTCAGGCCCAGGGTACAGGGAGAAGATGCTCACGGCACGGTCGCTTCCGGAAGAATCCACCCTCAGATCAAAGGGCAACCAACAAGGTTAAATTATAGCCACTTAATACTGCTAATGGAATGATGCTTCTTAATAATTAGTACAAACCAAGAGGTGGCTTTCCTGCTCACTGGCACCGTAGGCACAGCCGGGGGCTTGGTTCCTGTAAGTGCTGCCCTGATTCCCAGTCGTAAAAGGCACCTTCTGTCTGTGCAGACCCCACCCCTTCTGGACCAGGGTGTCTAGAGCAACTTCCGGGCAAGCCAGGGGCCCAGAGCCAGCCTTGGGGATTCAGGGGTCCCTGGAGCCAAGCAACCAGGAAAAGGCACTGACTAAGAAGATTTGCAAAACTGCATCTGGGAAGAGCCCTCCCCTCCTCCCCGCCCCGGCCACCTGGCCCATGTCTTCTGCCAGCTGTGCCCTAGGATGTCACTCTGTCCAAGACTGCCCTGGATTTCATCAAAAAGAGCAAAAAGAGGGAGGAGAGAGGGTTCCTACTTAAGGAGAACTCCCCCCACCTCTCTTGTCTCCCCCAAACCGACCCACAAGGGTCTCCTCTGCCTGGGACCGTCTCCTGCCCACCCACACCGGGCACTAGCCTCTCCCTGCCCTCCAGGCCCCACTTCTCCAGGAAGCCTCCCCACAGTGTACCCATCCCACCACCTGTCCCTCCTGGGGAACGTGACCTCCTTCCCACTGATTCAGGTGGCTTCCTAAGATCACCACAGGGCGACCAGCTTCCAGCCCAGCTCGCCAGAGAAGACATTTCGTAGCTGTTTATTGAATAAATAAAGAAATGCAGGTGCCCCCACGTAGGCTCAACCCCGAGGCCAGCCTGTCCCCCCGCCCACTCGCTCACCAAGGCACCACTGCGCACACGCTCTGCTCGCTGCCTGTCCCGGCTGCCCCTTCCCCTCACAGACGCCACCCTGCCGTCCCTCCTGGGTGACCTTGACCTGACTCCCTCCTCCTCTGTCTCCCTTTCCTCCTCCAGATTCATCCTAAAAAGCTTCTCCGCAGACGCCAGGGACCTGTCTGTGAAGGAGACCAAGACACTCATGGCCGCTGGAGACAAGGACGGGGACGGCAAAATTGGGGCTGAAGGTGGGTAGCACATTGTGGATTCTGGGATGCGTGGATGCTGGAAGTTCAGAGCCGAGTCTAACACCAGGAAGGGGAGCCTGGGGGGAAGGGCTCCCGTCAGGTCTAGCCAGGCAGAGAAAAGCTGCTTTGGAGTTCCAAAGTCGAGCCCAGTGAGTCTCACGCATGCTAGGTGGGAATCCAGAAGAATTTAGGATTTTTCCACTACTTTGCCCAGAGTCGGGTCCTGTACTGGCTGTGTGACCTTGGGCAGTCTCTCTCCTTCTCTGAGCCTAAGGCTCCTGTAGGTAATCTAAGGAGATGAGGCCAGCTGATCCCCAAGGACCCTCCGGCTCCCATTAGTCTCAGATCCCAGGGATGGAAAATCCTGGTCTCCTATCCTCTGCAGCATCTGACCCTGGTGTCCTATAACCTTGAGCCTCAAGACAGCTCTTAACTCCACTCAAATATACTCTTCTGGTATGACAGGACAGCCAGGAAAGACAGCCAGCCAGGAACCAGCCCCCACAAGCAAGAATGGTTCTCAAAGTTAGCTGTTGGCACAGGCAACGGGCCAGAGGGCCACCCGTCCCACACCCTTGCCCACTCAGCTGGACCTAGGATTCCTGGGGACACATTCCAGCATCACGTTTTGCAGATGGCCAAACAGATGTTGAAGGGCTTGGTCTAATTCAGAGAGCCAGGACCTGGAGATGGAGCAGGGATTCAGAACCTGACCTGAATGTCCCCACTGCCACCCCCTCCATGACAGGCCTTTCTGACGGTCTAAGAGAAAACTGTGTGTCGGTGCCTCTGAGTTCCACTCCCAGCCACCTGACCTTGGGGAAGGCCCGGAGCTGCTCCGGGCTTCACCTTTCTCGTCTTTGAGCTGAGGAGGACGAGGGTCCTAGAGCGCTGTCCTGAGACCCAGATGTGTTACTTTGCAAAGGGCCTAGACGGGGACAGGCGCAGAGCAGGTGCCGCGGGCTGGGAAACTAAGATGAAATCGGGACTAGATTGCGTTCACCCTTGTGCCGCGGGGTTTGGCCCACACCTGTCCCAGCAGGTGAATACCTGTTGCTCGAGTGTGAATTCCAGGCCCCCATTCTGCTTCCTCTCTGCCTTCCCCGGCGAATCTCTGGGGTGTCACCGAGTCCACAGGCCTGCCTTGCCAGCCACAGGGCGGGACACTTATCTCTGACCTGCTTGGGCTTGTCAGAAAGTCAGCGACCGCAGACCCAAAATTACTTTGAGAAAGGTACCAGAATTCTGAAACTGGGACTCAGTTTATTGACGTTTATTTTGGCTAGAAACGGGAACGGAGACTCCTGACCAAGGGCAGACGCAGGGAGTGCCCGGGCCACCCGCCTGCAGCTTCCCTGCTTGCAGCTGAAGGAGGGAGGTGCTTTTCAAGGACCTGAGTGCAGGGTCCTGGGAGGTGTTGGGCGCTGAGCTGCTCTGGGTGGCTCGGGTGAGTGACAGCTGCTCTCTGCCCCAGCCCCACCCCCAGCCCTGGCTCCACCTGGAGCTCAGCTCCAGCCTCCGCCTTCCATTTCAGTCTGTCGCAGGAAGCCCAGCTCAGAAGCCCTGGGCAGGTCTTCACGGCTGGCTGCTCCCAGGCCACCTGAATGGTGAAGAGAAACCAGGGCAGGCCCTCGCCTAGTTCCCTGCCTCCCTCTCCCTCCCGCCATACTCGGGTCTTAAAGAGCCAACTGAACTCTTCCAACACACATTGACTGAGCAGCAACTTGGTGTCCGGCAGGGAGGGGAAGATAAATTAGACCCAACTTAGAGTGGCACCATTTCCTGGCTGGGGGCCCCTGAGCAGTGGTTCCATAACCCTGAGTCCCAAATTCCTCAACTGTAAACTACCAGGATACCATGGGAGTGTCTAGTGCAGTGTTTAGTAAGTGCTCAATAAACAGCAGCTAGGATGCTTTTTTTTTTTTT